AATGCCGTTTACCTTCCCGCTGAAGCGGTCCCTATTTATCTACTTGCACTTTGATGTGCTTTCGAACTGATAGGTTGGCAGGAGCAGGGACTGAGCAACGGGAGCTCACTCCATCATGGGGATTAGAACCGCCAACCTTCTGATCGGCAAGCCCTAGGCTCTGTTTTTTAACCCACAGCGCCATCTGCGTCCCTAGATTATATAAGCAACCCTAATATCATGAGAGGATTAGCAGGATTCTTAATAAAGCACCCCCTGAAGTTTGAGAAGGCGAAGGCTTGGGATGTCAGTGTCTTCATCATTTTACAATATTAGACTTCATATTCTTTCCTGTATGACGCTGGCCAGCATTAAGATGTCTGCTGGCTCCCTTAAAAATTTCCTTAAATATACTTTTCATAGTTGCCCTCTTTGTTTTCCTCTTGATCACATTTCAAGGCACCGAACAGTTAAGCGAGTTCAACTTTGATTTTCAGACAGACTAATAGAGAAGGTAAAATATAAGAGCAGTTTCCAGTAATTGAAAAAGGCAAAAAAGGAATGTATTCAGGCATTACCATCTATGTTTTTCCTTGTTCTTCCTTGTCTTTCACTGCCATGGACGCTTTGAATATTATCTTCCTCTTCTACCTCCTGTCATCTTGTTCAGTTTTATGGCAGCAAACAACTCCTTTGCTTCTCTGTTATTGGTAGCAGTTAAAGGAGTGCCATGCTGCAATGCTATTAATTTAAAGGGCAACTCCCCTCTAGATTTGTTGCTCTAGGCTTCTCTATTTTTTCAAAGTTCCTGCCTTTTTCACAGCATTTCACTGCTGAGATCCTGAAAGATCCAGATTTCTACTCCTTCCCATTGTGCATTGTGAGTCATTCTCATAATGCTATGTTTCGTTTGGAAATGATGAGATTTAATTACTATGTCTCTGGGACATTATTTTGAGGTGGGCTTGGGGCCAACTCCCCATGGGACTCTGAGTCCCTTAAGCCCATGATTGGTCAGAGAAGAATGGATGGAGGCAGGATCCAAGGGAAAGCAAGGCATTTCTGTTATTTTTCTGTTGCAACAGAGTTCCTTCCCCTCCTTGCAAGGAGGTAGTACAGTGGTATCTTGGTTCTCAAACTTAATCCATTCTGGAAGTCTGTTCCAAAACCAAAGCATTCCAAAGCCAAGGCGCGCTTTCCCATAGAAAGTAATGCAAAACGGATTAATCCGTTCCAGACTTTTAAAAACAACCCCTAAAACAGCAATTAAACATGAACTGTACTATCCAATGAGACCATTGATCCATAAAATGAAAGCAATAATCAATGTGCAGCACTATAAAATAAATAAAACAGTATTGTAGATGATAAAAATTAAAATTAATTTTTTTTGCTTACCCGCACTGACGATAGTTATTGTTTGGATCGGGGGGGCTTAATAATTATTTCACTGTTAATATACTTCTTCTTAACTGTATTTCACTATTAGTATACTTCTTCCTAATTGTATTTCAGTTCAGCAATTACTTTGATAAAATACATATTTTGTTATGTGCAAATGGCTTTAGATACCTATTAGCATTAGCTTCAGATACCATATAGCATATATTCAATACAAGATGCAGTGACAATTTGTTGTTAACAAAGGAAAGCTGGACATATAAAGGGCTCCATTACCTTCAGTAGCTTAGGGCCTCATCAAACCTAAATCCGGCCCTGGACACATATGGTGGCCAGCACAGGAAGCAGGGGTCGAAAAGCCCCAGTACAGAGAGCAGAACACCTTTGTGTCCTGCCCACCATGCCCAAGGGTAGACCTGGGTCATTTTTGTAGAGGAAAAGGGAGAGCAGCACAAAACATCAGACAGAAAGTAAGAGGCAGTGCTCACATCAAGCTAAAAACTAGGACATTGATCCAAAGAATTATGCCTAATAAATATTTAGCTCAGCTACACTGGCAAAAAAAAAAAAAAGTTTCCAGTTGTTTTGCATATGCAGCCGCTGAAGAGAATACAATTCAACCGCTACCTTCTAAAATCCATGACATTCTAGTTTTATGCAAGCACATAGTGTTATTTAAAAGCATACGGTTTGCATAAAAAGAGGCCTGGTGAGACTTCAATTTAAATATGTACATTTCACTCCATTTCTGCAAATGTTCAGGTTAAAATAAAGCAGTGAGTGCGCTAACTCCATTCCTGTTATTTTAGAGTCAACTCTTAGCATTATTTTCCCTAGAAAAATATGGAGATCATATGTACTGCTGTTATTGAAAAGCGGGGAACCATCTGTTCATGAACTTCTACTTCATCGGATGCCTGGTATGCTATCCGCTGCAGGCAGGGCATAGAGAGAGAAATAAATGAAAGCAGTGAAGTCAGAGGGCAACCAAGTGCAAGGAAACTCATCAATTAGAAGGCAGAAAACGATGACTCAGAAGATTAGCTTTATTTCTTTACTAAAGAACTTGGAAGGAGCCCATTGTTCTTTGCTGCCTAATAATTTTGTTTCTCTCTCTACGCCCTGCCTGCAGAGGATAGCATACCAGGCATCCGATGAAGTAGAAGTTCATGAAAGCTTGTGGTGAAATACATCTGTTTAGCCTTTAAAGTGCCACAAGACCCTGTATTGCTTTTATTGCCACAAACTGACAACAGTGTCTCTTCCCTGCAAGGAACTGAACAGCAACTCTTTACACAAGCTGCCAGAAGCAAGATGCTCCAAAACTCACATCTTCACCCTGCCTCAACCTTAAATCAGAGGAATCATTACTGCTATTTATTATTAATAATATTTCAATATTATTAGGGACGCGGGTGGCGCTGTGGGTTAAACCACAGAGCCTAGGACTTGCCGATCAGAAGGTCGCGGTTCGAATCCCTGCAATGGGGTGAGCTCCCGTTGCTTGGTCCCTGCTCCTGCCAACCTAGCAGTTCGAAAGCATTTCAAAGTGCAAGTAGATAAATAGGTACCGCTCAGGCAGGAAGGTAAACAGTGTTTCTGTGCGCTGCTCTGGTTCGCCAGAAGTGGCTTAGTCATGCTGGCCACATGACCCGGAAGCTGTACACCGGCTCCCTCAGCCAATAAAGCGAGATGAGCGCCGCAACCCCAGAGTCGGCCACGACTGGGCCTAATGGTCAGGGGTCCCTTTACTTTTACTGTTACCACTGCTGCTGCTATGGATTTATTACAGCCTCCTTTAGCCTGATTTCCTGTTCCCTCTCAGTCTCCCTTTTCTTCTGGATCCAATTGTATTTGGCTTTTAAGATTTTGAGCAGTGACTTTGTGGTTCTTAAACTTTTGTGGAGTACCCAGAAACCTTTGGGTTCTTTATGTAATAAAAATGCAGATGATAATACACAAAATCACAGAGACAAAATTGGGGAGGGGGTGAAAAAGTTAATGTGGAGAGGGGACATGGCATGTATGCAGAAGGTTCCAGGTTCAATCCTGGCCATTATCTCCAGGTAGGACTGAGAAAGACAGGTAGTAGCTTTCTGGGATTTCAAGACAAAATATAAACCAGGTATGAGGAATCTATGATCCTTCAGCTCCTTCCCTAACACCAAGTAGATTGGCGCAGAGGTAAAGGCATGTCCAGGAATACTCACCTGCATCCAGCCTTGGCATTGAAAATGTGGCCTAACTTTGGTTCAAAAATGTTGAAGATACCTCCTCCCAAAAGCGCTCCCCACCCCTACCCCGGTCTTTTAGCCCTGCAAAGTGCAAGACCTCTCTCTGTAGCGAGAGGTGTGGAAGTCTAAGCCTGCCTGTCCATTGCAACTACTTCATTTATTCTGCCCTGATTCCAAATTTGGGGGAATCTTGAGACTGCTATCTTGCTTTTCTTAGTGAATGAAAAGTGTTCAGCACATGCTCAGAGGCTTGCAACGAATGCTTATGAACTGCGTTCTCTGTTTGTCTCCTCTGGCCCTCCCCTTTCTTTTTTCCATGGCCCAACCTATCTATCCCTGAGACAAATTCCTCACTGCAAGTGTGGCATAGTGGGCATAGTGTCAGACTAGGTTTAAACCCCACTCACCCAATAAGCTCTCTGGGAGGCTTTGGGCCAGTCACTTGCTCTCAGACTAACCTACCTCACAGGGTTATTGTGAGGGTAAAATGGGGAAAAGAACTATTTACACCACCTTCAGCTATTGGGAGGAAAGGTGGGGTATGAATGCAAATATATACAGTCATGCCTTGGTACTTGGACGTTTTGGCTCTCAAATGCTGCCAACCCGGAAGTGAGTGTTCTGGTTTGCGAATGTTTTTCAGAAGCCGAAGGTCCAACGCTCCTTCCATGGCTTCTGATTGAGTGAAGGAAGCTCCTGCAGTCAATTGGAAGCCGCACCTTGGTTTTCAAACCGTTTCAGGAGTCCCAGAATGGGTAACATTCGACAACCAAGATACGACTGTATAGATGAGAGTAAAGGTAAAGGTAAAGGGACCCCTGACCATTAGGTCCAGTCGTGGCCGACTCTGGGGTTGTGGCGCTCATCCCGCTTTATTGGCCGAGGGAGCCGGCGTACAGCTTCCGGGTCATGTGGCCAGCATGACTAAGCCGCTTCTGGTGAACCAGAGCAGTGCACGGAAACGCCGTTTACCTTCCCACCGGAGCGGTACCTATTTATCTACTTGCACTTCTACGTGCTTTCGAACTGCTAGGTTGGCAGGAGCAGGGACCGAGCAACAGGAGCTCACCCCGTCACGGTGATTCGAACCGCCGACCTTCTGATCAGCAAGCCCTAGGCTCTGTGGTTTAACCCACAGCGCCACCCGCGTCCCTATAGATGAGAGTAGCAGGGCGAAAATTGTGCTAGACAGACCAGTATTCATTTCTCTTCCTCTTGTTTTGAGATACACAAACACATATGCTAATTAAAAAAAAAGTGGATGAAAAATGAATAGTGGGTGCCTAGTGGGTGGCAATCCAGTTTGACTCTGCTATCGTGGGCTTAATTCCAATGTTCACATTTAAGTTGACTTTATTTGCGACACACTCTCTGCCCTCCACCCCGCACCCCAGGCACTTCACTGTCAAGCAAGGAGAGAGGCACTTCACTGCCAAGCAAGGAGAAGAGAAATATACTGTCTGACTAGCACAGTTTTTCTCACCTTTTGTTGCCGACATCAGTGAGGGGAGAATGCAAGCAAGAATGAGAGAAAGAAGGAACAGAGCTAGAGATGAGGACGTGGAGGAATCCAGATGGGAATGAGATTGGTGAGTAAGGGATTAAGTGGCTCAGGACAGGATCTGGGTCCAAAGCCCTTCCCCATCTCTTGTGGAACAGCTAGGTAAGAATCGCTAACCCATTTTTGCTAGATCTCTGTAAGCAAGGGTTGCAGTTTATAAAAAGCAATGCTAGCAACTGGAAGGGTGGCAAGGGGTTTTCCAAATTGCCTCTAGGACTAGCATGGCTTAGACTCAATTGGGGTTTACTGGGTGCATACCAATGAGACCATGGGCTCATCCAGACTTCTGCTTCTCCCACCACTTTCCCCTGGGAAAACCCACTCTTCAGTGCTGAATCGGAGCAAACATCAGTTGGGTTGTCCACATTTGTTCTGATTTAGGGCTAAAGAGCCATTTTTTTCCTGGAGAAAGCAATGGGACAAGCAGAAAACCGCTCAGACCCATGTCTAGGAAGCACATGAGAAGTGGGAAACCCATTTAGCCCTATGCTTTCTGGGCTCAACTTGCACTATAATGCCCCCATACCTCTGAAACTGGTTTTTGCATCATGTGAAAAGTCAAACGCGAGAAATGAAGTTACACGGAACCAGGCAGAGGGCTTTCCCAGCAATGGCACCTTCCCTGTGAAACGTCCTCCCATCAGATGTCAAGGAGATAGTTAACTATACAACTGAAGACATCTGAAGGCAGCCTTGTATCAAAAATGTTTTTAATGTTTGATATTTTATTATGCTTTGATATGTGTTGGAAGCCACCCAGAGTAGCTGGGACAACCCAGTCAGATGGGTGGGGTATAAATAATAAATTTGATTATTATTATTACCACTACTATTACGGAATAGGATGTCCCTGTGTTCATCAGAGAAATGTTGAAAGGTATGCATTTGAATGGCAATGGCCCTCACCTTTTCCGGCATCCAGCCCCCTCTAATATTTTATTGGGGAGTTATAATTAATAAAATTGTTGTTGTTGTTGTTGTTAAATATACAGTCATATGGAAATTAACAGGGAAAAGTCGTGAAAAGGGAATAAACTGCCATGTCAACACAGCCTAAGTTACATGGATTCAGCAATGCCTGCACTGCTTTCCAATTTGCTTTTGGGCACAATTCCAAATATTGGTGATTAATTTCTGCTAAAGCCCTAAATGGCTTGGGTTCAGGGTGACTCAGGGGCCTCTTTATTTACCAGCCAGCCCAATGCTTAAGATCTGGGTGGGTATGGGGCGGAAGCCCTTATCTGTGTCTTACCTCAAGCACAGAATCACAGACTGTAGGGCTGTTCAGAAACAGAACCTATGCAGTGGCTGTCCCACAAAGCTTGGGTGACTTCCCTTCTCTGATGCTCTTCTTCCGGTGAGTGAAGACATTCTTATTGCATCCTAGGCTTCTGCCTGGTCAGGTAGGTAGCTGGTGGTGTTAAAACGTGCTATTTTATCTGCTTGTGCCTACCTCAGTTGTAATTTATATTGTTCTGTTACCTGTTTTTATACAGTAACTGTTGCGGTATTGTTTATGCCAGGGGTAGCCAACATGGTGGCCTCCAGATTTGGAGACTCCAGTTCCCACTGGCCCCAGCCAGCATGCCCGCTGGCAGGGGTGCCAACCTGAATAAAATATTGGGAGGTGGGCAGGTAAGCCCTGCCCCACATAATTGAATACAGGCTGGTGATGGGAGTTCCAGTCCAACACCATTTGGAGGGCACTGTGATGGCTATCGCTGTCTTCTGTGTTAGAGGGGCATGGTAGAAACTGCTGCATAAATAAAAGAAAAACCAAACATCCAAATCCCTTTAGCCAACTTCCTTCTTGTGACAGAGGGAATTTGTTAAAGGTGGTGGCAGGGAACCTTTTCAAGCCAAAAGTCCACACTTCTCCTTTCATTCCTGCTTCCCTGAGATCCTTCTGCAGTGAGCACCAGAAATTCGAAGAGGACTAGCATTAAGATCTAGCTTCCAAATAGCTCCAAAATGATGTAGCTGTCGGGATTTTTATGAGATATTTTATAAGGAGGCCTCAATCACTCTTCAACTGGGATCCTACTCTACTGCTGTCCTGGATGCCATTGCAGTGATCCCATCATCTCAACCAAGCACTGCTATATCAGACAAGTTCAAAGGAGTTGAGTTTTGTGGGGTTTTTTAAAATATGAAAAGCCCCAACAAGTATCCACAAAGGAAAGAGCAACAAATGCTAACCAATTGGTTCTTACATGGAACAGCATCCTAGCTTGCAAGCACAAGTGTCAGGTCCGACCCTGGGTCCAGTTTCTCTTCTGGTCCTTGTCCCTCCTTCTCTTACTTGGTTCCTCTAGCTCCACTGTTCCCTTCACCCCTAACCTCTTGCACTGACTTACCGGTAGTTCCTTCCTCCTCTCTGCTCTTCCAGCTCATTGCCTTTGATCCTCCTACCACTTTCTGATTGGTTTCCTGCATTTTGGTCTTCTCCCCAAATGATAAACTCTCACCCAGTTTCTCGCCTCGCTGTGCCTGACCAGAACAGATTACTCAATCTCTCACACACACACCTCCCCGCCGGCAACACGGTGCATATGAACTCCTGTTTGGAGCTGCAAACATTGTGTTCTACATCCTGCGAAAATCTCTGGCCAAAAGTGCATTGGTACCGAATGGGGCTCATCTTAATCATAGCTGCTACTGAAGATGAACTGTGTCCATCAACTCTGTGTTTGCAAACTGTTATGAGAAAAAAACCCCTGCTCCTTTTCCCTTACGGGGTACCCAAGAGCCCATATACAGTCCTTTTGTAGGTTCTCTATCAGTAGGAGAAAATAACAGAGACCAACCAGAGAATATTGAGAAGCAAAGCAGCGAGTAAGCCTGTTCTTTATTAAACTGTTGCAACAGAGTCCTCACTCGCCACCAGCAGGAAAGAGGAGGAACCCAGAACAAAGATGTGCCTGCCCTCATATAGACTTTTGAAATTGCACATCCTTAAACTCCAGACCACCCCCAGAAATATCATACATACATCACAGAAGGGGTGTAGCCCAGGACCACCCCCCCAATACATCATACATATATCACAGGGGGCGGTCTAAAACAGAATGCTGAGTGTGTTCTCTCCTGTCTGGCAGGTTACCTGATTGCATTATCTGGGTTTTGGCCACTCTTTTGTTTTTATAACTACTTAATTCCCGAATGGAAGTAATAGAGGCAGTGAGAGATTTGACTTTCTTGGGCTCCATGATCACTGCAGATGGTGACAGCAGTCACGAAATTAAAAGACGCCTGCTTCTTGCAATGACAAACCTAGACAGCATCTTAAAAAGCAGAGACATCACCTTGCCGACAAAGGTCCTCTGTATAGTTAAAGCTATGGTTTTCCCAGTAGTGATGTATGGAAGTGAGAGCTGGTCCATAAAGAAGGCTGATCACCGAAGAATTGATGCTTTTGAATTATGGTGCTGGAGGAGACTCTTGAGAGTCCCATGGACTGCCAGAAGATCAAACCTATCCATTCTGAAGGAAATGCCCTCCAGTGAGCCCTGAGTGCTCACTGGAAGGACAGATCCTGAAGCTGAGGCTCCAATATTTTGGCCACCTCATGAGAAGAGAAGGCTCCCTAGAAAAGACCCTGATGTTGGGAAAGATTGAGGGCACAAGGAGAAGGGGACGACAGAGAACAAGATGGTTGGACAGTGTTCTCGAAGCTACCAGCATGAGTTCGACCAAACTGCGGGAGGCAGTGGAAGACAGGAGTGCCTGGCGTGCTCTGGTCCATGGGGTCATGAAGACACGACTAAACGACTAAACAACAACAAATTCCCAAATCCAGGTCACAGGTTCACCATATTCACACCTTAAATGTGCCCTTAAGGCAGGATTTGTGAGCTCAAAGACAATGAGGAGGTTTTTCCCCATTTCCTTAGACCTTGCAGAGAAATATTTGAGGTCATTTTGGGAAAGAGAAAATGGTTTCAGGACTTTTCTGTAGGTTTCAGACATGTGGTTTACATATTTGTATGTGTTTGTTTGGTACATTTATGAATATCTATTACATATAGGACCTTAAAATTCTTATAACAAAACCTTACACAAATGTAAGTTACGGGAATGTGTACTCAGCAAGGTCAAGGTACGCAGAGATACCATTGACCCCCAGCTGGTGAGGCTTGCTGACCTTCCGGATAAGTCTAAACTCAATTTTCTCCTCATAGGCAAAGACCACAAGACGACCTGGATGGTCACCAGTTTCTGTGTGCAGATTTGCAGGCGCAGACCACCCCCTGAAACAAATTAGTTCGCTAGGAAAACAGGCGAAGTCAGCCTCCAGGGTGTCAGGGCCAATTTGTATGGTAGCCCAAATTTTTTAGGTCTTAATGTGTATATGCGCTTATCTTAGATTTTAATTTTTAAGCTGTTGTTGTACACCGTTTTACATGTACCTTTTATTCTTGTGAAAGCTGTCCCAGTTGTGCTTTTGTAGCAATTGGTTAGGCCAGTCAAATGACCACGCAGCAATCAGAGAAATAAAGCAATAAAGTTTTAATTGCTTGCCGGCAGCAAGCAATGGCACGGAGGAATAAGTTCCAAAGTTCGGCCCCTCCCAACAGGGGGAGGCTTCCCTTTATACATTCTTGAATCAGGTCTTTATTCAATCAAAAGTTACAGCATTGCACATACTCAGATAGATACACTAGATTCGGCCTAGAGACAAGAACTGCTTTGCTGGGAGATTGTGTTCTAGAACCTTAGGTTCTGCCTAGAGCTAAGGCATGAGGAGTTGGACATTACCCTTCCATGTCCTTATTTGGTAATCCTTATCAGCCTATCTCTGTGTGTCTCTGAGTAGTGGGTGTCTGAGTGTATTTACTGGATATGGGGGCGTGGCCTAGATCAACAAAATGGCTTCCTTGCTTAACATTTTAACTCTCAAAATGGCTTCCCTAAGCACATTGCTACACTTTTCGAGCTGGTCTTTGACCGTAATAAATTATGATGATGATAATGCTCAGGAAGGATTGTGGCTGTGAGAGAGCATCCTGCTGACTCTCCTGGACGCACCAGCTCTGAAGGGCAGGCAGAGGGCAGAACCGCCCCCGGGGGTTGGAGAAAGGGCGAGCAGAGCACAAGGAATCTCTAATATATATATATATATATATATATATATATATATATATATATGCCTTGTGCTTCCTCATCCAATCTTGCCCCTTTCTAAAATATATTCATTGGTGTGTGCTTTTCTTTTTATACATCTGCCAAAGAATAAAATAAAATAGAATCTGGATTAAGGGGTTTTCTCAGGATTGGTGAGGGTGTGCTGTATCCCATCGGTCAAGTGGTGGTGGCACTCACCTTCTTCTGATAGGAAATGGGGGTACAAAAAATTGGGGGGGTTAGGAGGGTCAGATGGGGCTAGTGAGAAATGTTCCTGTTTTCATCTGAGGAGTGTTGTGTCATGAGACAAAGGTTCTTGAGAGCAGAAGCAGGCAAGGCCTAGGCAGTGTGGCCTACGAGGCCTACACAAATCTTTCAAAGCTAACTGTTAGCAGTAAAATGCTGTGTCACTGTGACTCATGCCTCATCTTGGGCTCCCTATACAGTGGTGCCTCGCAAGACGAAATTAATTCGTTCCGCGAGTTTTTTCGTCTAGCGAATTTTTCGTCTTGCGAAGCACGGTTTCCCATAGGAATGCATTGAAATTCAATTAATGCGTTCCTATGGTCAAAAAAAGTCCAATCAAAGCCAAATTTGGTACAACAATAGTTTATTAACTGCTCTTTAAAGTCACACATACTTTAAAGAGCATATCAAAAATTGAAGGAACAATAAATTAAATTTCTAAACATGACAGAAAAACATTTAAAAATCAACAAAGTGTACTGTACATACATTTTCTAAGACTCTGTGGGACCACTCGAAGAAGGTTCCTCTTCCACTCTTTGCTTCTTGCTGAGGAACCTGTCCATGGTCTGCTGCTTCATCCGTCTTTTCAGCAGCTCCCTGAGAGGCAACATGACCGTCGTATCAAAAGTGTTCGCTTGGTCATGTGCCACGTGCTTGTTAGGGTGGTGCCGCTCTGCAAAAGCCTGCACCTCCTTCCACTTCTGGCAAATGTCCCTCAGTTCTTTGGAGGACGGCCGTTCCTCAGTTGCTTCCTCCTCTTCCAGCGAGGCCTGCTCCTGCGCAACCTCTGACTGCAGTTCAACCAGCTCCTGGGTGGTCAGCTCGTGGTCGTGCTCCTCCACCAGCTCGCAGACGTCCTCCTCTGTGACCTCCAGGCCCATGGTCCTCCCCAAGGCAACAATGTCCTGCACCACTGTTGACTCTGGTGCATCAGAGTCACTTGGTGCCACACAGTCCGGCCACAGGCTGCGCCAAGCACAATTCAAATTTCTCTGGCTGATCCCGTTCCAGGCCGTGGTGATCATCTTCAAGCAGGTGACGATGTCGAAGTGGTCCTTCCAGAATTCCCGCAGGGTGATGGTGGTGCAATCAGTCACCTCGAAGCATCGCCTGAAAAGCTCCTTGGTGTAGAGTTTTTGAAATTGGCGATGACCTGCTGATCCATCGGCTGGAGCAGTGGCGTGGTGTTAGGCGGCAGGAACATGATGTTGATGAAGCTGAACTCCTCCAACAAGTCCACCTCAAGGCCTTTAGGATGAGCAGGAGCATTGTCCATCAGAAGCAAAGCCTTCAGCGGCAGGTCGTTGTCCAGCAGGTACTGTTTGACAGCAGGGCCAAAAGCAAGATTGACCCAGTCCACAAACAGCACACGTGTGACCCAAGCCTTGCTGTTGGATCGCCACATGACACTCAGCCGCTCCTTGTCGACCTTATGTTTCTTGAAGGCCCGTGGGTTCTCCGAGTGGTACACCAGCAGGGGCTTGATCTTCAGGTCGCCGCTTGCGTTGGCACAGAAGAGCAGGGTCAGATGGTCCTTCATGGGCTTGTGGCCAGGCAACTTGGCCTCCTCCTGTGTGAGGAAAGTCCTTTGGGCATCCTCTTCCAAAACAGCCCAGTCTCGTCACAGTTGAAGACCTGCTGTGGAACGTAGCCCTCTGTCTTCACAGCCTCCAGCAACTCCAAGGCAAAGTCTTCAGCCGCAGGAACATCAGAACTGGCAGCCTCTCCATGCCTGACTACGCTGTGGATTCCAGATCTTGCCTTGAACCGGTCAAACCAGCCTCTGCTTGCCTTGAAGACTTCTGGCTCGCCTGAGGTTCCTGGCTGTTCCTGGATGAGGTCTGCGTGCAAGGCCTTGGCCTTCTCACAAATGACGGCCTCAGTCACTGTGTCCCCTGCACGCTGCTTCTCTTCTAACCAGATGAGCAGCAACTTCTCGACCTCCTCCAGAACAGCTGGGCGGTTCTTCACGATCCTGGTGACTCCCTTGGCTGCATCAGTCGCAAGGATCTTCTCCCTCATCTTCAGGATGGTCCCGATGGTTGATGGGTTCCTGCCGTACTCCCTGGCGAGGTCCGTCACACGCATTCCACCGTCGTGCTTCCAGATGATCTGCTTCTTCATTTCCAGCGTCACCTTCTCCTTCTTCCTCTCGCCGGGCTCCGCAGCAGCAGCAGTCTTCTTGGGTCCCATGGCAGCACAGATCTCACCTTCGTAAACTCAGAAAAAGAAAAAAAAAATCAGCAATTCAAACCCAGAACCAAGTCCTTGAATTCCAAACACCCAACCCAAAATCCAAAAACCCCCAAAAAACTTTTAAAAGTTTAACTTACGTG